AGACTTTAAGTGAAGAGAGCAATGACTTTTGAGTAATATACAGGGTGTCCTCAAAATATACACATCACTTTGAATAATTATTAATTCCATTGGTTTAAATGTGAAAAGAAAGAAACATGAATTGGGCTATCAGCTGTTAAAGTGTGTGTACATTTTGAGGGACACCAGATATCTATAATAATAAAAGCATAATATGCTAATGAGACCAGACATTCTTCCAGAGGAAGCCAGGGCTGTGAGGGAAGCCCAGGTTCCGGGTGCGGGAGGGAAGCCGATGCCAGCCGCTGTGGGAAGGAAGGCCTACTCTAGCACAAATTTTATGCACCAGGCCTCTACTATAGATATAAATGTTTTTAACACTTCCTCATAAGCTAGAGAACATTTTCATCACCCAGAGAGTTCTCTCATGCCCCTTTACAATGCCTCAATCCATCACTGACAAGCAATGACATGATTTCTATCTCTAGAGATTCATTTTGCTTAGGCATCTTTTAAATATACATTTATCATCTCTACCTATTAAAACAAACCCTCATTAGTGCATAGCTAAGTACTTAAGAGCATGAGGTACTCCTGGAAAGCATTATGGACAAAGACACCTGATCCAGGTCAGTGACAATTCTACCTGGGGCTAGATGGTTTGATAGAATGACCCTCAAAAGGTCTTTCCAGCTGGTAAAGCTATTTTTATAAACTGTAGTTACTGATTTTCACTCATTTCTTGTCTCATGCACCCATTCATTCCAATTACTTTGTAATGATATTTTGACAAAACGTCATCATATCTAAGGAAATGCTTTTGAGTTCCCATCAGATACACAGGTAGCCTGGGTCATGTTCACACATTGTGAGCTGGGGCTGAGGTCCACGGGGAAAGTGACTTCATGGAGAGATCATTTTACATTGGGAAGAGGGTTCCCTTCACCTTGACCTCAGTGTCTAACCCACAAAACAGGAACTTTGAGCTGGAAAATCCCCCTTTGTGTTCTGTGCTTGTGTGGCCGCTACTATTCTGTGCTGTGTGTCCTTCTGTGTCCAGGACCAGAGAATTTCTGGGGATAAACATGGAGCCCATTTGTGGGCTGGCCAGGCCCCAATTCAAGGCTTGTCGCTGTGCTTCCAACATCAGGCTCCTCCTCCAGTTCTGACTTTCGATTCTGTGTCCTCTTCTCCTAGGCCTGGATGTGGTTGTGCTAAAGGGAAATCAGCACCCCGGGAGGTGACCACGGATTTGAAACTAAAATTCATTTACTTGAGACCTGCTACAAAACTGGCAGCATCCGTGGTCTAAATAGTAATACTTTGAAGATAATGATGGCAGGGCATTGAAGCAAGTGTGGGGTCCTTCTACGCATGGGACTGTGTGTAGATTAGCTACAGGGTTTTTCAGAGCCATTATATTTATTACTTAATTAATGTCAGTGATACTTTGCAAGGTGATAGTCCCTGTGGAATGGATATCTCAAACTATAAAATAACATTTTTTTCACTCACTCACCCTGGAGTTGGCCACCTCTCCCCATGGCCCTCACACATCTGTAATCCATGGTGCCAGTAGTCATCTGCAGAGCTGAGCAGCCACAAAGAAAGGTTGGTCACAGGTATGAGCTAGATCTGATTGCCGCTGTCTCACCCCAATCACGGGAAGCCAGTGCTCTGGGGAATATGAAGGTGTTCTGGCTGCATTTGGAAGGTGTCCCATCTTACAGTGAATTGATAGGAAGCAGAGGGAAAGGATTCGTCCAATGTGGACAAGCCTGCCCCTGAGGCTTGGCAACCAGAGAGCAGTAAGATCCTTGTGGGTAGAAGGACATTGATGGGATGGTGGTCAATTAAGCAAAGTAGAAAAGGATGCTTGAAGGACTATTTGGGACCCATGTGTTAGAGAAGGCATCACAAATCCATCAGGATTTTCCAGGAGATTCAAAAGTACAGAAATATGTAGATACACAAAACTAAAGTATGAATGAAGATTTATATCACAGGAAGAAAATTCACCTAAAGTTACACACTTGTTGCAACTGTTGTCAAAAGATTAGGAACGACTTGTAAAACTTGTGTCAATTCAGCCCAAAGCAGTTTTCTCATTCTAAGCTGTTCATTTGTACATTTATTTTTTAAATATATTTTTATTGATTTCAGAGGGAGGAAGGGAGAGGGATAGAATCATCAATGATAAGAGAGAATCATTGGTTAGCTGCCTTTCACATGCTCCCTACTGGGGATTGAGCCCCAATGCAGGCATGTCCCCTGACCGGGAATTGAACTGTTATCTCTGGGTTCATAGGTCTACACTCAACCACAGAGCCACACTAGCTGGGCTTATTTTTTGATTTGATGATCTGGGGTAAGGGGTGTGGCCCCAGTGACAAGTTGGCTCTGGGCTCTAGGCAGTGAGCATGACATCTCAGAATGACTCCCTGAAGAGCCCTGTTCCCTTTCATCAGCACACAGCGATAAACTCCATCTGCCCTGCCCCTGCCATGGCTATCTGCCACCTGAGCTGTGTGGCCTTTTGTCTCCTGCAGGCAGGTGAGTCCTGGCTGGGTCCTCCCCGTGGATGAAAATTTGAAGAGTCCACCACTAAGCCTTCCCGTGGGGGCTGCAGCATCATTTTTATTTTCTTCATCACAGGTCTGGTGAACGCTGTCATCACTCAGACCCCCAAATTTCAGATCTGGAAAACAGGACAGAAAGGGACATTGAGATGTTCCCAAGATATGAGCCACAACTACATGTGCTGGTATCAACAAGACCTGGGCCATGGGATGAGACTGATCCATTACTCAGTCGGTGCTGGGGTCACTGAAAAAGGAGATGTCCCCGAAGGGTACAGTGTCACTAGATCAAAAACAGAGAACTTCCCCCTCACCCTGGAGTCAGCGACTCCCTCCCAGACATCTGTGTACTTCTGTGCCAGCAGTGTATCCACAGCGCTGCACAGCTGCCTCCGCTCTGCACAAAAAGGCAGGAAGAGGCCCTTCACCCTGGACTTAGGGGAGCCCTATGCAAACTCCACACCGTGGAGCCCCCCGGTGGCCCAAGCCAGCAGGTTGAACCTCTGTGTGTGGTGAGGTCCACCTCCAGGGAAGTGTCTGCCAGGCCTAGACCAGAACCAGAGCCTCGGCCCCCCCCCCCGCACCCTCCCCCACTATTGCTGACTGTCTGTCTGTCCTCTACAGCTGCCCTGTTAGCTGGGAAGCTGCTTCCTCAGCTCTACCTTTTCTCATCATCAGCCTGAGTCTGATGCCTCCAGGGTGGAAGGTCATCAGGAACTCAGATTCATCTAGACCGTACCCTTTTATGTAATGATGTTTACTTTGAATTTATATTAGTTCACACAAACACTCCATCCATGCTTTTGTTCCGGCTCTCCGGTCCAGTTTAAGAACCCATTGTGGCCCTCGAGTCAAAAAGTTTGCCCACCCCTGATCTAGACCCTCTTGTATATTAAACACTAGTGTCCTAAAAATCAATGTAGTGGAATCTTCTTCCATAAAGAAGCTATAGGAAACCTATTGTTAACTGCATGGTGACCTAGAAGGACATGAGACTTTGCTATGGGCTCAGGAAACATAAAACAACATGGAGGTTAAGACACAGAGAGGGCACTTGGTCATGACTTGCAGAAAAATAGAAGCTCAGCTCAGGCACTTTCCCAGGAGTCATTCCATCTCTTATATCTCTGAATATGCCAGTGCATCCCAGGGCAAAGCCAAGTCAGACCCTGATGCCAACCCTCGCCTAAGAAATGGATAAGGTTGAGCATGTGTGACTGGTAGAGAGGAGAGCATGGTAACAGAAAGAGAGATGCTCACAGGAGATCCTGACTTGCAGATAAGACAATGAATTCACCCTTTGGTATCTGGTATTGATGCTGCTGCTGACTGGTCTTAGTGAAAATGCCAGGGGACAGGAATGACTGCTAAACGAGAAGAAAAGCTTGGAGATGTGGTGAGATCTCTGCATCCAGATGGCACAGGAGACCACAGGGACAGCCACGCATTGAATTTGTTGAAAAAGGAGTTACAAATATTTACATAAGTCATCCAAGAGTGCTGTACTATGCATCACATGTCCCTGAGGTTGAGGGGATTGATAGTACTGTGATCTGCTGATCTGTATTTTGGATATAACAATAATTGTCTTTTTTCTCTTTTGCATTTTGTATATTTTTAGTAATGAAGTTAAAAGAACCTCCTCACACTTCAACTTGTGTGTCTTTCTTCCTATTTTAGACTAAATATTATTTCCTTCCATCCCTCCTCTTCTCTCTCTCCTTTTCACAAAATAGTTTTAAGGAAGCATATCTTACTTAGACTATAGCTGCCAAATAATGTGATAATAGTTAAGTAGAATGAGGGTGAGATATTAAGTGTGGTAAGTCAAAGGAATAGAGTTGGGTTTGAATTAATATTGACATTAGAGTTTTTAGACATTGAGCATACAAGTTAAAGGATACTGCTTCTGGAATATTCTCCCTGCTGATCCTGCAAACTCTTCCCAGCATCCTTGGGGCCACTGCAGAAGAAACAATGAAGAAACTTGAATTCTTGGCCACCAGATGGCACTGTGATACCATTGGTATCTTAAAGAGCTCTGGAGAGATTCTGGGAGAACAGGAAAGAGTTATGTAAACTTGGGCATGGATCCAACATTGGACAGATGTTGAAGAAGTTTTCAGTTATTGCTAGGCTACCTATAGCTATGAAAGAGGTGGGAGGTCCCTCTAAACATTAATGAGATCAATAGTGGAAGGATTTGGGCAAGGCAGCCTTGATGGCAGGGACAGGTGCAGACAGAGGCAATTATCTCAGAGAAATGTGGGAAACCAAGGGGAGGGGTGCTGCCTATACTCAGTGCATCCAAACCACACCCCATCTCCCCTGCAGGCCCTGCTGAGCTATGTCTATGAGAGGAGTTGCTGATTCAACCTGAGCCAAGTCTGTAGGAGCCCTGGGCCATGGACCCTCTGCTGGGTGGGGGGCAGTTACATCCCAGGCAAACCTGTGTACTCACTGGAGAAGGGCCCCTGAGCTCTCTCTCAGTCTGTGGTCACAACATTTAGCTGGGACAGCCCCATCTCGCCCTGACCTGGCTGGCCATGAGTCCCAACCTCTTTTGTGTGATGCTTTGTCTCCTTTCAGCTGGAAACCTCTGCCAGGGGTTTGCGAAGTCCCAGCTCCAATCTCCCCCACCCCTTTCAGTATCCAGCTTATTCCTCAAGTCTTGTCTTTACTTACATCTGCCTCTCCAACAGGCCCCATGGATGCTGCAATCACCCAGACCCCAAGATACTATACTATACAATCAGGAAAGAAGGTGACCCTGGAATGTTCCTAGGACATGTACCACTTTGTGATGTACTGGTATCCACAAGACCCAAGACAGGGGCTGAGGCTGATCCATTATTCACACAGTTTCGGCAGCACTTCCAAAGGGCATGTCACAGAAGGGTACAGTGTCTCCTGAAACAAGAATGAGCATTTTCTCTTGACCCTGAAGTTGGCCAACACCAACCAGACCTCTTTGTACCTCTGTGCCAGCAGTCAGTACACAGCTGTGTGCAGCCAGTTGCCCTCTGCACAAATAGGGCAGCCATAGAGTGGGGGACACTCCTTCCTGAGGCCTCTGTCTTGCTAGGAGAAAAACTTGCCCCTCCTGATGCTCTCACCCGACTCCTCTGCAATGGAATGTCAGCCTGAGGGGCTCCAGTGAGAACCTCAGCAGCCTGACCCTCCGTGTGAATTGAGGTCCATCATCTCAGGGTGTGCCTGTGTATGTGTTGGTGTGTAAGTGCAAATAGCACTTTATTAGGAATATTCTGGTAACTGAATAAGCAGAGGAGCAGTAGCATTCAACATGAAATTTATATTTGGTGGCTACTTGGAAAAGCTGTTCCTGTCTGCAGAGGCTCCATTTACAGAGAGAGGCCCCATTTACGGAGAGAGGCCCCATTTACAGAGAGAGGCCATGTACTAGTCCTTAAAGAACTGTGAGCATCTTTCTGGGTAGAAACAATAACATTGTCTAGGATGGTCCAAGAATAGACCAAAGTCCAAGATTTGCCTGAATGATTCAGATCAATGCTTTAAAGACTAATGGCCCAGCCAGTGAAACTTAGTAGTAGAGTGTCAACCTATAAAACAGGAGGTCAAGGTTAGATTCCTGGTCAGGGCACATCCTGGGTTGTGGGCTCCATTCCCAGTTGGGTGTGTGCAGGAGGCAGCCAATCAATGATTCTCTCTCATAATTGATGTTCCTGTCTCTTCTCCCTCTCCCTGCCTCTCTGAAATCAATAAAAATATATATTAAAAAAAGATGAACGGCCCTAACCAGTTTGGCTCAATGGATAGAGCGTTGGCCTGCGGACTCAAGGGTCCCAGGTTTGATTCCGGTCAAGGGCATGTACCTTGGTTGCGGGCACATACCCAGTAGGGAGTGTGCAGGAGACAGCTGATCGATGTTTCTCTCTCATCGATGTTTTTAACTCTCTATCCCTCTCCCTTCCTCTCTGTAAGAAATCAATAAAATATATTTTTAAAAAAAGATGAATGTAGTTTCCTTTCCTTAGGCAGCAAAGACTGAAAATAGACTCTTATTTCAAAGTGTAGAATCCTAAAAGTACTGGAGTGAGAATATCTTCCTGAGACAACAGCATTTCTTCCCACTTCTTTGTGGGAACCTTATTTGAGAAAGCTATGACGTGTTCATCAACCCTGTGTTGACACCACAACCAAATGGCAATTCTATGGCCATTTGAATTGTGGAAATGTAGTAACTTGTTTCTATTGAGTTTGGAAATGCAGGCACTAGAGGGCGCTCATTTACCTTCCTTTTCAGATAAAGCGGGGGGGGGAGGGGGTTGTTATTCACAGGTGGAGCTAGACTGAGGGGTCAGGGCCTCCACTCTTGTTGTTTGGGGACATTTATTTATTTTAGAACTGACTTAGAAACAGAAGAGGCATCTTGATAAGGAATTGAGGACAAAAGTCATTTTGAAGATAAATGAATTTATAGAGGGTATTGTTTTTTTACCTCCAAATTTAATACAAGGACCTAACCAACTTAGATCAGTACTCACCAGAGGCACCATTTCATCCCCAGAAGCTTTGAACTGTGAATTTAAACTGCTCTCAGGGGAAAATGGGACAACCTCCCATCCATACCCCCCACCCTCCAATACATATCCCACTGCTGCCCAAATCATAAAAAGGACAAGGAAAATGCAGGATGAAGATTAGAACTAGGAGACCTCAAAGGGAAGGTGAAGACCTCAACTGTGAAGTGCTGTTGAATTCAGGTGGACATGTACAACTAACAACGTGAAGAGAACGAGACACTAGAGAAGACTGGCCAGATAGGGAGTGTGGGATCCGGGCGATAGAGCACTGGAGCTCAGAGGGATGACAACCAAAAACAGAGTCGGTGTGTATTTACATCCATGTTTGAATTACTATTTCTCACTCATTCTCTTTCACAATTTTCATCTTTTAACATTTCTGGTTATGAGTCACAATATTTTTCTTTCTTTCTTAATAGTAGTTAACAGAATGGTGCATCCCAGAGTTGCTAGCCCAGTGATGGCGAACCTTTTGAGCTCGGTGTGTGAGCATTTTGAAAAACCCTAACTTAACTCTGGTGCCATGTCACATATAGAAATTTTTTGATATTTGCAACCATAGTAAAACAAAGATGTATATTTTTGATATTTATTTTATATATTTAAATGCCATTTAACAAAGAAAAATCAACCAAAAAAATGAGTTTGCATGTCACCTCTGACACGCGTGTCATAGGTTCGCCATCACTGTGCAGCTAGCATCTTAGATATAATTAATTCATTCATTGCTTAATTAGTTAATATCAGGGAATCCTGGGGCTTAGTGATGTCACTATGGGAACTGCCTTGTGGGAATAAGGGAAGTCCCTCCTCCTCTGCTCATGCTCACAAGGACCCTGACCTGGGTAACCTCCCATTCCTGTCCTCACCCTGCCATGGGCACCAGGATCTTCTGCTGGGTGAGCCTCTGTCTCCTGGGGGCAGGTGAGTCCTCAGAAAACCAAGCCCTTT